ATTCAGAGGAACCAGCCCAGGTCTCGTGGATTCCCCATCAAAGGCTGCCCCTATGGTTCAAGCAGCCTGGGCAGCCTTTCAGGGTGGCCACCGCTTCCCGGAGCCAGTGACGAGGCAGCTGTGAGGGTGCAGGGTGCAGGGAGCAGACGCCTGCAGCCCACACCCAAAGAGGGCATGTCGCAATGACCTTTCTCCTTCCCTAACTAGGTCACACATCTGGTTTCAGTTGTTTGGAAGGTGAGGAGAGCTTGGCTCCCCAAAAGACCTGGCCTTGCCTCAGATTCCAGCATAGACACCGTCACTGCTGGCCGGGCACCCAGAAGCCCACTGTGGCCTCCTCTGTCCTCTCTAGATCCTGGCTCCATGAAGCAATCATGGGGGAGCCCAGGGAAGGGGCCCCATGCCTTCACTTCCCCCACCCCCAGATGTCACTCAGCAAAAGCCCAGTCACACTCCTGGGACCAGGATGGTGGGGTCCAGCCCCGACTGGGAGGCCTGGGGAGATGAAATCACAAGTCCCCACCCTCCTTAGCCAGCCCAGCACCCCTGTCCCTCCCCGAACCCAGGCACAGGGGTAGAGAGCTTTGTTCCATGGAAGCCCTCCCCTGACCTCTCAAGGGGCTGCAGGGCCTGGGGAGTGGGGCAGCTTGGCGGCCCACAAGGACCACAGGGACACTCACGGCTCAGACTCCATCGTCTCCTTTTCGGCCAGGTAGTTGTGGGGCACGTAGCCCTCGGCCAGGGCCCCGCCCTCAGCATCCAGCAGTGTGGCCCACCACCACTCCTCCTCCTTCCTGGCCACGTGGAAGAGGTCCCCTGCCTGGAAGCTTAGCTCCTCACCTGTCCTGGCCTCGAAGTCCCAGAGGCCCACGTACTGGGGGCCCAGGTGAGCCTGGCCCCGGGACACCATGGCTGCTAAAGTGGCAGGACCTAGCTGCCTGGCCTTCCTCCCTGCCTCCTGTCACGCGGCTGCTTCGAACACCATGGCTGGGAGGTATGGGTGGGCGGGGCCAACTCTGACAGGCCACCCCCTGCTCAGCCGAGGAGGAGCCTGCTGACTTCCCTGTGACAGGTGGCTCTCCGAGCACCCTGGCCTCCTCTGCCAGGGCCTGGTAGCCCCACCTGTTCTACGAACTGGGGCCAGGTCAGCCTGGGCACTGTTATTGCCTACCTGCTGTGGAAAATGTGCTCGCCAAGTGACCACGTGGCTGGACCTGAGCCCAAGAGAGGGAAGTCAGAGTGACCGGTCAGACAGGGCCCTCATGGGGTCCACCTCAGTGGAACCTGAACTGCGGGGTAGGAGTGAGTCTTGGAGCTGGGGGACAGGGAGAGAGGCCATGGACAAGCCACTCCCTTCCCTCACCCCCAGGGCCACTGGGACTGAGATGGGACAAATGGACAGCAGGCTGCCTCTCTTCTCTCCCTGAAGTCTCCCATGTCCCAATGCCTCCTTCTCACCACAGAGCCCATGCCACACACTCCCTGCTCATGGCGAGGAGCTGGTATGGCCGCCGCAGGAGGTCCAGGGAGGAGCCTGGGTAAAGACCATGGATCTGGGGTCAGCCTGCTGGCCTGGGGCTGAGTCATTTCCTTGTCGGAGGAGGTGCTAAGGATCAGGGATTCTCTGCCAAGACAGGACTGCAAGGCCAAACGAGCATGAATCCTGCCTGTTGGAACCCTCCCTTTCATTGAGGAGAAAGCAACGGCACCACTCACCCTATCTCAAGAGTAAGAGCAGGAGCGTGTGCTGTTTAACAAGGTCATAGATGTGCTGGGCTGGGCAACCCAGCTCAGTTCTGACCAAGCGACTTGGGGAAGGGGCAGCCAGGACTGTGGAGAGGGAAGGGCTCAGAGGGGGCAGGACCACTGGGTGGGTAGGCTGCTTAGTGCCTGTTGAGCCCAGGACCCCCCTAAACCCCCCCAACTGCTCACCAATACACTCCAGTCCCCTCAGCCCTGGGCCTGGCCCATGAACCCATGTCCAGGGGCCTTGAGAGTTACTGGGTACAGATGAGCCTGGAGTTCTGCCTGAGTCACACCAGGAATCAAGAGTTTCGAGACTGGGTGGGTGTCCCGGCCCCACCCAGAGGCTCCGAAGCACAAACCTGTCCAGCACGTGGCTGGTGAGACACCCAAGATGATCCCCACGCACACCTGTCTCTCTGGCCGGCCACCACACCCAGCATGTTCCTTTCCTCCCAGGCTGCCTGCCCAGCCCGCCCACACTCACTGAAGCTCCAAGCAAACAGGGAGAGCCTTTCCTGGTGGCCAGAGCCCTGCCCAGAGGAGTACCTCAGTCTCCCGAACCAGAGGAGCTCAGCTCCAGCCCTCACCTTCTGGAGCTCGCATGCCTGAGCCAGCGCCTCAGCCCAGCACAGGACAGAGGGGTCAGCAGCTGCTGCCCAGGGTCCCAAGAAGCTCAGACGGCACCTTCCCGCCTCTACCATCCACCCGGGTTGGGGCGGTCTCAGCCTGGGGTCTGAGGCTCTGGGGGCTCCACCCCTCCCCACTCAGCTCTGACCCAAAAAGCCAGACAGATCTGGGCCTAAAGTGGCTGGTTCCTACCTCATCCCCCTGTGCTGCCCCTGCCGTTCACCCTGCCCCAGGAAGCACCCCCACCCCAACTCCAGTCCCAGCAGTCTGTTCTCTGAGC